TTATTATATTTACAAGCACCCTAGCATGAAATGCTAGCATGACCTATTCTTTGAATAAGGCAGTTATGACTGTCCGCTGTACATAGCTTGGCAGCTACATTTGATATACCGTATTAAATAATAAACGACTGCTCAACAGCCAAGTGTGTCTCGGATGTGTGTGGATGCGAGAGACGCTGGCCACCCACCCCCTCGTGTGCCGTGCCACGGCCTTCATAGGCGCTACTCGCTAACAGCACTTGCCCCAACAGTCTGTTAAAGGCTATCGGGGGGATCTTTGTCTTGTGTGTGTGTATGCCCTATGGGGAGCGGTAGTGTAGCGGTCAGCGCGCTGCGCTAGGAACCCGGCGGCCCGAGTTCGATTCCCGCTCACGGCCAACACCGGCCTCCCATAGGTCGACTCAGCCTCAAATGAGTACCTGGTGCGGTGTGTAAACATCGACACTGGGTAGACCAAGGCGTCCAGGCGTGTTGCAGGCCACCCACCCCCTCGTGTGCAGTGCTCGCCTTCATAAGCGCGACTCGCTATAACAGCGATTGCCCAAACAGTCTGTTGAAGGCTTCACGGGGGATCTTTGTCTCGTTGTGTGTGCACCCTTTAGGGTTCTCATTCGCTCACCCTCCCGGCTTCCCGATCAATTTGAGGGACGTGGGTGCACAGCGCCAATCTCGCTCGACGACGCGTCCATGAAAGTCCGTGTTGAGTGAGTGGGCGAGTGAGCAGGTGTGAGTGAGTTGATGAACGAGTGAGTTGGTGAGCGAGCGAGTGGATTGGAGAGTGAGTGTGTGCGTGAGTGGCTGAATGGTATTTGACCGGTTGATGATAATGTTTAGGTCGCTTCATATCGCGTCCGTACACGATATGCAGGTCACGGTCACTGGAGATCTACAGTCACGTGGTAAGGCAGCCAGGCAGCGAGCCAGCGCTGAAGTTGTGCCCAAGCTCTGTGCTCCTCTACATATAGTATTATGTTCTTTCAGCCAATGAATACATGTTTTCCACAATAGGCTTTTTGTATGTGTAAAATCGTGTAAATATGAATGTCGTCGTTAAACCCGCCACCACCAGACACGGCCAATCAGTGAGGTTTGTCGCATCAACAGAACGTGGCAATTCGTTACGAGTTCAGCACTAACCGGTTTTGTGTTGGAAAGTCGGAGAATACCTGCCGCGAAAGTCTGCGTGTTCAACTCAGCGAATGTTTGTACGTGCGGGGGGGGGGGGGGGTCCCGGAATGTCCCGAGAAAAACCCACGCGTGTGCGAGCCGGGCAGCAATTGTCGCCGCGTCCAGATTGAAGTCCACACTTTTGCTGAACCCCTAGCGAGCCAGTGCCGGATTAAGCTGTAGCATATGTTATAAATGGGCCCTAAATTTAAAAAAATACACTTGAACATGAAAAACACATTTTTACTTGCATTGAAAAGTAATTGGAATTTTTTCATTTGCTATACAGCCGGATAATACGACAAATCGCTCCCCTTAAACACCCAGTCGTTCATAAAAGTTGAAGGCGGTGTAGTACTATAGTAATAGAGCAAGTGCAGAATCACTGAACCGGAGTTGATAGCTTGAAAGCATTTAGCGCGGGGACCTTGGAAGTACGGGCCCGTAGCTACTACACGTGCAGCTAATACACGTGTAGTAGCTACTACACGTGTAGTAGCTACTACACGTGTAGTAGCTACTACACGTGTAGTAGCTACTACACGTGTAGTAGCTACTACACGTGTAGCAGCTACTACACGTGCAGCTACTACACGTGCAGCTACTACACGTGCAGCTACTACACGTGCAGCTACTACACGTGCAGCTACTACACGTGCATCTACTGCACGTGTTGCAGCTACTACATGTGTTGCAGCTACTACACGTGGTGCAGCTACTGCACGTGTAGCTACTGCACGTGTAGCTACTCCACGTGCAGTAGCTACTACATGTGTAGCTGCTACAGTACACGTGTAGTAGCTACTAAACATGTAGCTACTTTTGCCACTAAGGATAATCCGGCACTGGGTGCACGGCACCCCCTCGACCTCCACGGGGAAGGGAGTTTTCACAACAACGTCTGTCTGTGTGTGTGCTCGCGCGGTGATCCACCGACACCTCGCTGCTGCCGCCGCTGCTGCCACCGCTGCCTCCACAGCGTTGGGTCACTGCAGGCAGCCCACGCGAAGCAGCGGTAGCGAGCACGGGAACAGGTGAGCAGGTGGCTGAGCGAGCCGAGTGTGTGTGCAGTGGATGGACAGGTGAGTGTGTGAGTGAGTTGGGGAGTGAGAATGTTGTGGGTGAGTGAGCGGTAGTCTAGCGGTGAGAGTGCTGCGCTACGACCAGTTCGATCCCTGCTCACGGTCAACACCGGTGTTAATTATCTGAACCAGGTCCTGGGCCTCCCCTAGGTCGACTCAGCCTCAAATGAGTACCTGGTGGAGTGTGTCAACATCGCCACTGGGGAGACAAAGGCGGCCGGGCGTGGGTGCTGGAAACTCACCCCCTCGTGTGCCGTTCTGACCTTCATAGGTGCTCGCTAACAGCACTTGCCCCAACAGTCTGTTACAGGCTACACGGGGGGTTTTTGTGTATGTGTGTGAAGAGAGAGTGGGCGAGCAAACCAGTGAGTTAGCCCAGTGCCGGAGTATCCCAGTAGCACAAGTAGCTACTACACGTGTAGTACTACACGTCTAGTAGCTACTACACGCACACGAGTGGGTGGGTGGCCAGCACTACACGTGTAGTAGCTACTACACGTGTAGTAGCTACATCTGAAGTAGCTACTGGCCCCGCACTTTCAATGGCCCCGCGCTAAATGCTTTCAAGCTATCGATTCCAGTTCAGTGATTATGCACTAGCTCTATTACCTATAGTACTATACCGCCTTCAACTTTTACGAACGACCGGGTGTTTAAGGTTAGCGATTTGTCGTATTATCTGGCTGTACAGCAAATCAAAAAATACAATTACTTTACCATGCAAGTAAAACATTTGTTTTAATATTTACGTGTGTTTTTTTTTTATTTAGGGCCCCTTTTATAACATGCTACAGTCCCCGCACTCGCTTCATCCGGCACTGGGTTAGCCGACAGGCGAGAGCGAGCGAGTGGGCGAGCGAGTGGGCGAGCCGGCCTGTCCTTACCCACTGACCAGGTGACTTTGAGGACGCGTCAGTACCCACACTTCACTCCACCACACGCGACCAGCCGATCAAGCGACTGAACTGCGGTGTCGCGCATCCGTGCTGCTGGGCGCACGGACGGACGGACGGGTGGACCCTGATGGATTTGAGAAACTCGCCACCCCGTTGTTTCAGCAGCTGTCCAGGGGAGATGAAATCGAACCGGCGAACCTTTGGATTGTAAGTCAGGTCCGCGATGTTACTGCCCCATTAACAACCACGACGACAGCCCTCGCTTAAACGAACAAAAAATGTAAAATATCTACATCCTATTTTTGAGAGCCCCCAACGAACCTCGTGTGGCACGTGGGGTCCTGTATGAGCGAACCCATGGACACACCACAGAGACCCATAGACTCGTCGCGCACCACATTCACCCATTCACTCATCCACTCACGCACTCACCAATCCACTCACCAATTCAGCCACCCACTCGCTCATCCACTCACTCACCAAACCACTCGCCAATTCAGACACCCACCCACTCACTCATCCACTCACGCATTTACCAAACCACTCGCCCATTCAGCCACCCACCCACCCACTCATCCACTCACGCACTCACCAAACTACTCACCCATTCAGCCACCCACCCACTCACTCATCCACTCACGCACTCACCAAACCACTCACCAATTCAGCCACCCACCCGCTCATCCACTCACCAAACCACTCACCAATTCAGACACCCACCCACTCATCCACTCACGCATTTACCAAACCACTCACCCATTCAGCCACCCACCCACTCACTCATCCACTCACGCACTTACCAAACCATTCACCCATTCAGCCACCCATTCACTCAAAACACCTGCTCACGCACTCACCAAACCACTCACCCATTCAGCCACCCACCCACTCACTCATCCACTCACGCACTCACCCACCCACCCACTCACCCCCACTCACCCACCACCCACCCACCCCACCACCCACCACCCACCCACCCACTCACCCACCCACCCACTCACCCACCCACCCACTCACCCACCCACCCACTCACCCATCCACTCACCCACACGGCGCACGCAGGCAGGCAGGGAGCGGTGTGGACGCATCAATAACTGAGCGCCGTCTCTCTCTACAATGGAATTTTTTATTGAAAAGGACACTTGAATTAATGATGGAATGATTGATTGAATGAATGAACAAATGAATCATTTAGGTGGTGGTGTGTTGGGGGGTTGCTACTGCATTGCCCACGACCGCCGTCTTCCAGCCTCGCGCGGCGTAGCCAACGGTGTACGTTGAACTTCTTTCGCACCGTACGTAGCCAACCGTGATCATGGGAGGTGCGGTTGGTCGGGGGAAGGACAGCAACACTAAAGAGAAGTTCTAAAGAAATTAGTTTGTCGATCTAGATGATGATTTCAAAGTTGCACAGCTCCAAGTGGCTTCCTAATATCCGAAGAAGGAGCGTTCCAGACGGCCGCAGAAGCAGCGCATCTGAAAGCGCCGCGTGGCGCGGTGACCGCCACCGTCTGTGTTGCGACGGCGAGCTGCCGAAAGCCACCGCCGCTGCTGCTGCTGTCACTGCTGCTGCTGTCACTGCTGCTGCTGCCACTGCTGCTGCTATCACTGCTGCTGCTGCTGTTACTGCTGCTGCGAGGATGACGAGCGGAGTTGGCGTGGCCCGATGGTTTCTCGCCCCTTGACGAGATGGAATCGAAGGTTGCGCGCTGCTCAGGTGTGGCGAGCCACTTTGCGTGTCTGTTGCGTGCGCAACGAGTGCGACCTTAGAGGAACTTTCTGGGAAGTTCCAGGACGATCGGCCAGGGGTGTTGTTGTTGTTGTGACACGTCGTCCCACTCCCCCACTCCCCCAGACCTTCTGCAGAGAAAGCCCGGCACGGGTGTGAACGTGTGCTGCGGGTTTCAGGAACTCCACCTCCGAAACAACATTCCTCGTCCACCGGAAGACGCGGCGCGTCGCGGGAGTCCCGCGTGCACGCGCGTGGTCACCCAGGAGGAATCGTCCCCCGCCGAGTCAGTCCAAAAGGAGCCTTGCCGCGTTCGGGCGGGTTCCTGGCCGTAGCCCTCCTCGCGGGAGGGAGCGAAATGTCGTGGTCGAGCATCGCCCTTCCCGTTCCCTTCCCCCTTAGTGCGCCCCGCCGCTTTCCTGACATTTGCGGTGGCGTCGTCGTCTCCCGAGAGGCGGCGAGGAGGAGGAGGAGGGGGAGGAGGAGGGCAGGATGGATGAGCCAGACGGGTGTCACGACATCTCTCGGCTTTCCCGCGAGAGGTCTCGCTCGCTCTCACACACGCCCGCCACGTCGCAACATCGCGAATACCACTGGTCTCCCCCCCCCCCCACCCACCTCCGCTTAGCCCGCGGCCTGTTGATCGCACATCTGGTTCTCAAATATCAGCTGTCAGATTTCAGATCTCGGATCTCAGCTGTTGGAAATCAGCTGTCAGATCTCGGATCTCAACTCTCAGATATCAGCTGTCACATCTCTGGCTCTGAGGACTCAGTTGTCAGATCTCAGATGTCAGATCTCAACTGTCAGATCTCAGCTCTCGGATATTAGTTGTCGCATCTCAGCTTCTCATATCTATCAATTATCGGATCTCAGCTCCTCAGATCTATCAATTATCGCATCTTAGCTCCTCAAATCTATCAATTATCGGATCTCAGCTACTCAGATCTATCAATTATCGGATCTCAGCTTCTCAGATCTATCAATTATCGGATCTCAGGTCTCGGATTTCATCTCTCGAAACTCATCTGTCAGATCTGAGCTGTCAGCCGTCATCTCAGCAGTCAGATCTGAGCTGTTCATCTCGGCTCTCAGTTCTCAATCCCCCCCCCCCCTCAATTACAGCTTTGACCCTCGGTCCATGTCTTTAACCTGAGCGTCTCAACTCTCCAATGCCCCCCCTTCCCAGTATCCGTCAACTCTCAAGTCCCATCTCTACCCGTCAACTCGGAGGGCCTCCTTCATCTGGAACCTCAATTCGCTCTCCTAATCTCCTTTTCAAGTGGGACTTTCCAATTGCCTCTCTCTAATCCATAATAAATGTTTTTTGTTGTTTTTGTTGGGGTTAGATTGCGTGAATATAAATGTTGTCTCGTTAAACCCCGACACCACCGGACGCAGCCAATGAGTAAGGTTTGTCACGTGTCACAACACGTGCCGATTCGTCACTCGTACAGCACGCCCGTGTGTTGGAGAGTAAACCCACAAATTATTTTGTCAAGGCGCCCTTTTCCCCCCTTCCAACCCAGCTTTAATACATGCTCCAAGCATGGTGCTGTTTCATTCAGACGCTGTCGCCTCGACAGACCTGGTTTTCACCTGAGGACGGCTGCTTGCGTTGTGGCCGAAACGTCGTGAGAATTATTTTATTATGTTTTATTTGTATTATTTTATTACTTCCCTTCTACGTGACTTTACCGAAAGAACCAAGAAGATAAACCCACACCATTTACAATTGGCGTGCTCTATCTGTCCACTCCCCCTTTATGTCGGTCCACTCTCGGCCCTCTGCAAATCAACGTCCCCTTACCCCCACTCTCCCAACCGATGCACTCCCAAATCCTGTGATCTCGACATCTGTTGAAGTCGCGTCTGCGCGTGTACGTTGATGCTTCTTTCGCAACCGTACAGAGCCAACCATGGCTACTGGTTAGCTGATCAACAGAGACGCCCCTAGTGTCCGCAACTCTCAACTCACTCTCTACAGATCAACTCACAATCACGTCCTCTCTCTTCCGATCAACTCTCCCCAAGATTTCCTCCTTAGAGCTATCTATCTCACGAGACCTACTCAAAAACTATCAACCTTTTTTTCATTTTACCAGGTGAGGCCCCCACTGAACTACTATTTAGCTATTTTTTTCAGATGATAGCCCAAATAAGTAGCTTATTATCCCGTGGAAATGTATAGCAGCCAGATACTCTAAGTGCGTGATGTTTGTTGTAAATTTGGAGGGGAAAACCGGAGGACCCGGAGAAAAATCCACGCGACCATCGGGAGAGAGAGAGACACGCAAACTCCAAATAGACAGCAGGTGTCACTGTCGGGATCGAACCCACGACCTCCTGTATAGCAGGCGAGGTAGTTTAACATTTCCTAGCCACCCTATTGATGATAAGAGAGACACCGCAAACTGCAAATATACATCAGGTGTCAGGGTCGTGATCGAACCCACGACCTCCTGTATACCAGGCGAGGTAGTTAACATCTCCTAGCCATCGTGATGATAAGAGACACACACGCAAACTCCAAATATTGAAGTGTTGTCAGGATCGGGATCGAACCCACGACCTCCTGTGTACCAGGCGAGGTAGTTAACATCTCCTAGCCATCATGATGATAAGAGAGAGACACGCAAACTCCAAATATTGAGGCGTTGTCAGGGTCGTGATGGAACCCACGACCTCCTGTATACCAGGCGAGGTAGTTAACATCTCCGAGCCACCGTGGAACCCAGATCAGCTCATCGTGACTTCCGTTCTCTCGTCCGATCGACTCTCCCCAAGATCTTCTTAGAGCTCTCAACTTCCCTGGAGCTGTCAACGCCCAGGGGGAGATGTTAACTACCTCGCCTGGTATACCGGAGGTCGTGGGTTAGATCTCGATCCTGACGCCTGCTGCTGTATATTTGGAGTTTGCGTGTCTCTCTCTCTCCCCGTGGTTGCGTCCACATTTAGACTCATCACGCGTTTCCAGTGTTTGGCCGATATAAATGTCCAGGTGATGAAGTTGATGATGAGAAGCCACGTGCATTGAGCGACCATTTTTGATAGCCCGGGATCACTTCTGAAACAAAATAACAGCGACACAGCAGCTCAGTGGGGCATCACCTGGTAAAAAAAAATTAAAAAGTTTATAGTCTAGTTGCGAATGTACATCTCTCTTCATCTCGTGACACGACACCGGAAAGATGACGGGGGGGAGGGGAGGGGGGGTGGAAATAAAATAATAAAATCGCACTTATTTATTTAAATCGCAATAATAATGAGACGAGGAGGCGGCTGTGGCTCTCTCATCACCGGCAGCGTGGCCTCGTCCGAGCGCCTCCTTCCGCGTCTCCCCGAGGCCCTACCCGAGGTCCCTTCTCGCAGAGCAGCCGTGACCTTGCCGACCCCTTTGTCAGGAAGGTGGTGACTTATTGATGTCACCGCAAGGGGTGGACGGAGCTGTAGAGCGGAGGCTTCAACTCGGCGATCACTCGCTCTCGCGTCAACCACGTCTCTTTATCCCCCCCCCACCCCCCGCATGGAATTACCTCTGGGCCTCAAACAGGACAGGCCAGCAAAGGGATCGGTCCGCTGTTGTCGTCATCGCCACCCTCATCGTCGTCGTCGCTGTCATCGTCAGCAGCCATAATCTATCCGCCGTTCGATGCAGGTCCGTCGCTCGGCAGTCCATTGTCGAATCTTTTCGCCAAAGCGTCATCACTCGCGCCGCATGGAGCAGCCACTTCGCCGCTCGCCACAGGATCGCCGCTCGCTCGCCACTCAGAGTTCTGAGCGCAGTCGTTTTTTGCCCTCCCAACCACAGGGTGGGTCATGTGCCGCTCAGTGACCAGGCGAGGTGTACTTGCCGTGGCGGCGGCTAACGCTGCTGCTGCTACACGTGGGCTGTGTGGAGGCAGCAGCAGCAGCAGCTAGGGTTGGTGGTTCACCGCGTGCGCGCACACACAACGCACACACAACGCACACAGATGTTGTTGTGAACCTTTCCCCGTGGGTGTCGACAAGCAAGCCGTATCCCCGGCTCGCCAGGAGAAGGCCAGGACAGCAGAGTGTGGACTCATCGCCATCATTCAGACTCTGTCTTCTCGACAGACCTGTTCTACACCTGATGACGGCTGCTTGCGTTGTGGCCGAAACGTCGTGAGAATGATTTTACTATGTTTTATTTTTATTATTGTATTACTTCCCTTCTACGTGACTTTACCGAAAGAACCAAGAAGATCATCGCCATCTGTTTATTCCATCCCGTACGGGGATCGAGTGTTGCTCCCTCGCGCGCGTGGGTTACTTTTTTTTCCCTGAGCGCTCTAGTTTCCTCCCACTCATCATTTAGTTGGCTGGAAGGAAAAAAAACCCCAACGCAAAACACCTATGAAGAAGAGTTCCTCTGACTCTCTCTTGGATGAATCGGTAAATTGTAATTAGTAGTAGTAATCATTAGAAATAATTAACACAGGGCTTATTTTTTTTCGCAGCGGCTCAGCTGAGGCTCCAGTGTTGTGTAGGCAGCAGCAGCAGCAGCAGCAGCAGCTAGGGTTGCTGGATCACCGCACGCACACACACAGATGTTGTTTGTCCCGTGAGCTACGAGGGGCAAGCCGCCCCCCCCCCCCCTGGCTCGCCTGGAGAACGCGGCACGGCAGAATTCGCACCCCGCCCGGTCCATTCTGCACGCGCGTGGTCGTTCACCCGGTGAGCGGGTGGGTGAGTGGGTGGGTTTGTTCTAGATTTGAAGCTTTCGTGACTGCAAGGATGCATACTCTTAGTTCTTTCGGTAAAGCCACGTAGGTAAAACATGAAATAAAAATGAATAAAAATAAAACAATAAAATCACGACGTTTCGAAGGCAACACAAGTCTCCGTCATCATGTGGGACCGTCACAACCAGATTAGCTGCATCAAGGTGGGTTTGGCCAACACCACTCTCCGGCCGTCTTTGTCTCCCCCGTGGCGTTGTTCACACACCGCACCAGGCACTCGATTGACGCTGGTTCAACCTTTAGGGGGTGGTTCAGGACCGGTTCCGATAAACTTTGTGTCCGTCGGCTTCGTAGCGGCGGCGCTGCTCAAAGCCACGCCGCCGTTCCCCACACCTGTCAACCCCCTATGGGAGACTTTAACATTGGAGTCTGTGGGAGACTTTAACATTGGAGTCTATGGGAGACTTTAACATTGGAGTCTATGGGAGACTTTAACATTGGAGTCTGTGGGAGACTTTAACATTGGAATCTATGGGAGACTTTAACATTGGAATCTATGGGAGACTTTAACATTGGAGTCTATGGGAGACTTTAACATTGGAGTCTATGGGAGACTTTACAATTGGAGTCTATGGGAGACTTTAACATTGGAGTCTATGGGAGACTTTAACATTGGAGTCTATAGGAGACTTTAACATTGGAGTCTATGGGAGACTTTAACATTGGAGTCTATGGGAGACTTTAACATTGGAGTCTATGGGAGACTTTAACATTGGAGTCTATGGGAGACTTTAACATTGGAGTCTATGGGAGACTTTAAAATTGGAGTCTATGGGAGACTTTAACATTGGAGTCTATGAGAGACTTTAACATTGGAGTCTATGGGAGACTTTAACATTGGCGTCTATGGGAGACTTTAAAATTGGAGTCTATGGGAGACTTTAACATTGGAGTCTATGGGAGACTTTAACATTGGAGTCTATAGGAGACTTTAACATTGGAGTCTATGGGAGACTTTAACATTGGAGTCTATGGGAGACTTTATCATTGGAGTCTATGGGAGACTTTATCATTGGAGTCTATGGGAGACTTTATCATTGGAGTCTATGGGAGACTTTAACATTGGAGTCTTTGGGAGACTTTAACATTGGAGTCTATGGGAGACTTTAACATTGGAGTCTATGGGTAGAGACTTTAAAATTGGAGTCTATGGGAGACTTTAACATTGTAGTCTATGGGAGACTTTAACATTGGAGTCTATGGGAGACTTTAACATTGGGGTCTATGGGAGACTTTAACATTGACGTCTATGAGAGACTAACATTGGAGTCTATGGTAGACTTTAACATTTGAG